GTTATAGAGATCATATGTATATTTTCATAAGTTGACATAGGATGTTTACCTAGAAAAATGTAGATGCTGCATTGAGATGTTTTGAAACTAAATATTTACTCTTTCTGCAGAAAAATTGTGAGATTGATTATACCTGAACTGATAATGTCTAAAAGTACAAAATGAATCTGTGTTTCATCATATATTAGATACGTTCTAATTATGGTTGTGATAGCAGTATTCCAATAAAAAATATAGTTAGAACCTATTAGCTTCTAATTTGGGGAACCAGAAGTTTCACTTGTCAAAAGAATCAGAATCTAATATTAAAACAGTTACGTACTCCCTGCCGAAGGGCAAAGAGAACTATAAATACAACCAAAAGGTTTTTAAAACAAGTTTAGATAGAATCTGTAAAACTGATTATAATGTATTGTGCTATACTTTTAAAAGCAGGTTTTAGGTGGAATTTTTGTTAGAAAATCTCACAACCTTATAGTGAAACATGGAGATGAACCAAGGCAGAAGAGATACGAAAGAGAAAATAGGGAAGAGTACAGTATATATTCCCTTTGAAGGACATATATCTCAAAAACTCATTGTGAAAAGAATATAGCAAAGCAAACAATAGCAGAGGCTATGGTGTTTGTGCATAGCCATTACGTGTGCATTTATTGTTATATCTGATTGTTATTTTACAAAATATATACAGATGAAAATGCAAAGCTGATAGCAGAGCTTGTGCAGTGGAATTAGGCTGCTTGGTCCCACTACTGATTGTAATGACAGACAGGTAGAAGGAAGCAGCTAGTATGTGAGTAAAGAGCAGTCAACAGAATTATCAGTCTCCAACTTCCAGAACTGAATATAGTCCCACACATGTATTTACCATCTACTCAAAAGCATACTGTAATTGCAATTATCAGTAAATAATATGGAGACATATTGAACCAAATTGAATTTTGCAAACTAATCCCTCCCGCTGTATTGAGCTATCAATCCTATCATCCCTGTCTAATTAATGGATTGCTGATTGGCAATGATAAGAATTCAGAAGGAATTTTGTAGGTTTGCAGAGTCAATTTATGAACCAAATCAGGTCAATATGATGGGAAAATAGCAAATGTATTGCCAAATGAGAAGGGCACACGACCATGTTTTATAAAAGAATTAGTTTATGTAGTCATAATCTCTAAAGCAAGTTGAAACTCTCACTTTACCCATAAACATGCATTGCAGAAGTGATCATGAGTAAATTCATAAATTGTATTATCCATAATTGTGAAAATTTACTTTACTGGATATTAGGAAGACAATTTGCATTCACTGAAATTTTATATGTAGCCTAAGACACTATTTTCAAATGTGAAATACCCTTGCATGGAGAATTGCTTCCTCAAATGGGGATAGAAGCCCTTATTTTAACCTGATGGCAAAAGATCTGTAGTTCTTTGTGATTAGAAAATTGATGAGGAATTCCTTATTTGCTCCCAGGATAACTTCCCATAGATCTAAAATTGCATCTAAATTAAGAGAAAATAGAGGAATGAGTTCACCTCTATGTGCAACAAACTCTGATGATGCCAAAATGATGATAGGTGCATAATGGTGTCATCACATAAATGTTGCAAATATTTCATTTATTTATTTAACAGATTTATATAGCCACCTATTTCACACATGGCAACTCTAGGTGGCAATTGTGTACAGCGCTTAAGATTCAATATCTGACACAAATAAAATGTGGCATTTACATTATGACATCACAATGCACATTTCTTCATTTCCCTTCTCTCCTATAAGTGAGATGTTGTGGTAGAATGTGGTGCAGGCTTGCAGGAGGGAAGGGGATCTTTCCCAAGGAGCAAATCATTCTGGAATCTTTGCTATGCAGGAAGAGGGCCAGAGTGGAACCTCCATAACTTTTCATAGGGTATATTTAATCATTATGCAGATTGTATTTCAGTCTGCCAAGATTCCTGTCTATAGAGCAGCAACAAAAAAAGTATTGTGAGTAAATACTTGTGTTGTTCTTAGTTCCAAAGAATCAATATTACAATGATATGATAACTATTTACTTGGGAGTGGGAAAATGTCTTCTGCTGATTAAAAAGGCAAGACTGCAATGGTTTGGATGGCAGATTGGGCTATATAAGTATTGGCAAGCCTACATGCTTTTGAATAAGAAATATATTCCAGTTAGACAAAATAAAAATAAATTATTTTGATAATAATATAACAATGATACACAGCAGTCATATTTCTATCCATCTTGGTTGAGGAATTCCTCTAATTCAAATGCCAGAGATTTATCAGCACCAATTTAAATATCTTGCCACTATGTGGCATTTCTCCATATTAATCATGAAATATAAAGTGTAGATTCCCTCCATGCTGTGCTGTGTTGAGCTTCCATATCACAGCAAGACATTTCTCTTCCTATCAGTATGGAAAACCTAATAGTAATATGCTGTGCATGTTAAATTGAATGGCCACTATAGAACCAGCTAATCCCCATGACATCATATACCAATTATAGCACATATCTCTTTAGGCAACTGTTGTAAGGAAAATTAGAGAATAATAAACAGCTCTTAGTAAGGCAATACCAATTCTTTTGGCTGACCTGAGTGGCCATTGGAGATGGTCAGGGAACTGAAGTGATTTTTTTTCTCTCCCTTGCTACTATTTTGTGCTTTTGAGAATTAAAGAACATTGAACCGACTTTCATCTGAGGTTAGTCCAACAGAAGTATTGAAGGAGATTGCAGAAATGAAGTATGGAAACTTAAGAAAATATTGTAAGTAGAATAGATTTTTTTATATCAAACAAAAGAGAAAATTACAAAATATTAAGAAAATGTTTCTTTGAAAAAAATTAAAATAAAACATCTTAATGGGTGATACTGAACTCGGTCTACAGAACTAGATTCCAGTGATCCTTAATAATTTACATATGATGGTGTAATGGACTAGCAAAATGTAAAATAATCTCAATAAGGGAAGAGCCATATGTGGCTCCAATGCGCATGGCAGTCTGTTTGCATAGCTAATAAATCCTGAGCCAGCCTATTCCTTTTCTAGACTCAATCCAATATTTCCTGCACTTCTTTTGGAGTCCTGAAATATTTATTCCTCTTGCAGTTCCTACAGAAATCCCTGGAGTTTGCTTTGTGTGACCAGGTACCATAATGATTATTAATAGCTGGGGGGAGGGGGAAACTGAAACTGAAAAAGAAACATCAGAAGTTATCAGGGCTGGTTATTAAGAGGAAATACTGGAGGAGTCTGCCATTAAAAAAGAAATGTGGATTAAAGGTAATATTTGTGTATTAGAACAAACCATTTATTTCAGTGGAGTTAAGGTGAAAAAAAGCCATTTATTAAATATTACCTTTGCATCTTCCCAATCTGATGCTTTTCAGTTATTAATACTGCAACTTCTATAACATGACCATGCTTGATGGGGAGTTCTTAAAAGCTACTGTTGTAATATTTCTGCAGAGTTTCTTGAGATACAACAGTATATTGTCCAAAACAATTTTTTTAGATGTCTAATAGCCAGTCAATTTGTGGGCATCATTTTTGAGGAAGGTAGTATATAGTGATAACTATACTTCGGTATCTTCTTTGTCTGTTATGATTCAGCTTTGCCTCTGTTAGAATTTTCATGTTTGCTGCTTGTTTTCTTTTGAATTTAAATAACAAAGCCTATCTATTTAACTATTACTCTCTTCTTGATTCAGTTTAATATCTTCATTACTTCATTTTATCCTGCGGGGGATCTTTCCTCCAATCTATTAAGAATGTCCAAAATGGTCTCATCTCTTGCCATATTACATTTTCCCTTAAATTGACTGTTGTCAATGTATTCAGTGTTAAGTTTCTCCTCTTTCCTGTTTTTTTTTACACTATACTGCTTCACTTCCTTTTTCAGATAGAAAAAAGGCTTCACTTTTTTTCAAAGTGTTTTATAAATGACCTACATTTTTTATCACTTGTTCCGCTACTAATGATTTCCCCAGCCTAGCACATCCCCATTACTATCTTTTTACTGCATCCCTATTGTGCCTATTCAACCTGCCCTTGTTGCTGTTATATTCTGTATAGAACCTGGCATGTCCTTGGAGCAAGCATGCTCTGAAGTTGTTCGTTGTTTGTAATGCTTTGACAACCGAAGGGCCCATAGGCTGTTTATCATGGTAATGCTATAGTAACAAAACCAGCAGACAAAATCACGGAAATAGCATTTTGCAAGTGTTAAGGTAAAGTTCCTTTGCAGAAAAAGGAGATTGTTGGCACAGAAAAGGAACAGCCAGGTATATCTCCCTCTGTTTTCCCATATATGTTTTTTCCTACTTCTCTCATATGGTGCCCCTTCCATCCAACAATACTTCTGCTTGTAATCTGCCTATACATATAATTCAAAGACAAGGCACAATGTTGAATTCTGCCCTAATGCCACAAGAGCCCAGAGCCCTCACACGTAGATATTACCATGGCATTAAGCATATTGCTATCCAAAACTTTTAGCTGATCTCTTTGTTTTTCATTTAAGGATGCTGGAGCTGTTGGTACTTCTGTTGTGTATCTAGTGCATAAAGTAATTAATAATAAGATCATAACAACATCATCTGCAGAGACATCCAGTGAGGCCACATAGAAACAGGTTTAGATTGCATTCTGACCTAAATATTTCCATTAAGTAGATTTCTATTTCTACTTCTGTTTGCACGTTATTTACTAAGACAGGGAGCAGTGAAAATCTTTGACCCAATTATTTGCTTAAATACTTTTTCTCTGAATAGCAATCCAAACATAATTTTTAATTTTATCTCCTGATTTCTAAAAAAAAGTGAATGGTTCTTTTCCACTTTGGTCTGGAGTGATACAAAGTACCCGCACGTTTTTTGAGTGGATGCAAACAAAAGAATTTTCAAAACAAAATACCATTCTTCTGCAGTTTTCTTCGTTGAATGTAACAGCAGAACTGCAGGATAGCTTAAGACTGAAAAATATTGCCTCCACTTGTTGGAAACATCAGAATAATACTCCATGTGCTATGAGAACCTTGGTGCAGATCAGATCGACTCCCTTCCTTGAAGGTAAGAGTGCATTTACAATAGGTTTTTTTTTTTAAATGATGCTTACATTGCCATTTGAGGGTGTGAAAGCCCTAATGCAGGATCATGGGGTTGCCGTGATTTTGAGAAGTCTTAAGGAAAAGCACATTATATAGTGAACAGTCAGTGCAGTTTTTGTGGGGAGGCGACAATTCATTTTGTAGTTAATTTCCCAGAATAAGAGTTTGTAAATTCTAGGACACACACCTTGCCTATCCTTATTGAATCTAGACAAAGACTCCCATTTCATTCCCCTTGTAGGGGATTCCCCATCCCACCCCAGTTGGATCTTGAGTACATGAGGATTGTCTCCACAAAATGGGCCTGCTTTGTCCATGCAGCCAAGGGAAGAGTGCCTCAGGATACACCAAGGAGAGAAGCCCTGGTGTGTATATGATGGTCTTGGCTCCAGATGTGGTCAGCTAGATCACATTGTCAAAAAGCTTCATGGAACTCATGATGTTTTCATCCTGCCAGAGAAAAGATGGAATCAAGGCCTTAGAAAACATGGGAAATTAAAAAGGTATAGCTTACTATTACTAAAAATATTATTTTAGCTCTCTCCTCACAACCTGCTCTGGAGTACTCCTCCAATTGTGTCACAATAATATTAATATTAATATAAATCCAGAGCCAGTAGTGAAATATCACATCTTGATCTCACTGATAGTGGTGATAAAAAGTTCTCATCTATAGAGCAAATAGGACTGGCTATGCACTTTTTCCTTATTCACTGCTATAAAGAACTAAAATGCCAGGAGGACAATGGTGTTACCTTCTGACAGGATTCAATGAATTCATCAATGGTCACCACACCATCTCTGTTCCGATCCATTTTCTGAAATGTAAATGAAAATTGAAGAAGAAACAGATTAGTTTCCTAGGAGGACCTTCAGACGTAGAGAAACACCCTATAATATCTGAACTCAACATATCACCAGCCTAGAGGCAGCTGGTCTGGCAATATGTCTATGATCTGAAAAGCCCCACCAGTAGAAAATGGCTTTATATATCATTTACTATTTTAAAAGTATTTAAGCCAGAAAAAGCTTCAGAATTTTGAGATTTGTGAACTTCAACTACTAGAATTTCTCAGAATTCCCAAACAGCATGGTACTTGAGCCATAAATCTTAAAATTACCAAGATTGGACACAACTGATTTAAGGAGATAGAAGCAATTGAGTTGCTTAAAAAGTTTGTGAACATAATTATAGAATTATACTATGGTCAGTACTAAAACTGAAGGAATCAAAAGGAAAGGGAAAAGTATGAAGAGGAAGGCTTTGTCTTCCCCAAAAGCAGACAAAAAATACATATTCTTGACCATGAAAAAGTTTTCACAGGTAAAGTACAGGATATTAATTGGAAATATTCTGATACTAAGCTTACCTGGAAAAAATTTTCCACATGTTCCTGGGGTGCATCTTCTCTCATGGCTGGATAAGTGTACTTGCCCATCATGTCGTAAATGGATTTCATTATATCCAACATTTCCTGAAAGTCAAAACACAGAAAGAATTATTAGCCAATGTCGCCAGTGGATTCTTACTTAAGCAGATTTAGCAAAGTTCCTCATCATCTGGCCCTGCTACTGTCTGTACCTCTTTGGTGATACAGCCATCTTTGTTCAGATCATAGAGATTGAAGGCCCAACTGAGCCGATCATCTACAGTGCCACGGAGAATAATGGATAAACCAGCTACAAAATCCTGCAAGAGACAAGGTGATGAAAAAAAGGATGAAATACATTCTAAGCACTATTGCAGCTGTGATATATACTACAGGAATGTAACATAGATCCAGTGACTACAGTAAAAAGTTGATAAATTGTATCCATTCATGGTTTCCTTAGAGAAGAATATTCAGATGAAGATACAACTGCTCAAGATTCAGTAATTTAAAACATATAACACAGCTATGGGCAATTATTTTCAACCTCTCCTTTAATTAGAATTGCTGGAAATCTTTAGCATAGTTTTTATCCTGTTCTTGTATTGTCATATTTTTAAATATGCATTCTGTCATCTGTTAAACCCTGAAGCACAGAAATACAGATTCTGTTAGTACCAGCAGATGGCCTATTATTCAATGATTAGTTGAATGGCATGGTTCAAAATTAGAATACAGAAGCATATATTCCTTTAAAAAAAATTCTAACGGTAGACATGGTATTTATTTGAACACAACATTCCTGGAAGGCAAAGTACTTTCATCAGCAGTAGAGTTAAAAAAAATTCACTAATCTTTTTGGAGTGAGGTTAAAGGGAGGTTACTGCTTTTTTTTGCAAATTTCTGTTATTTATGTTTTAATTTGCCTACAAGAGCCCTGGATATAACTGGTAAGATATATAAAATTTCTTCAAAAATATTAATTACTCTGCAGAATACATTTATCCTTAGGCATAACTTCTACCTGCCTAATCGGATCCAGCAGAAGAGACATGCTATGGTCCTATCAATTAAGGAGTGTCATCTTGCAAGACCCAGGAAATGAACCTTTTCTATTATAACACATCCCTTTTGGAACATCATTCTGCTAGAAGAATAGATTGGCCCCAACCTTGCTGGGTTTTGTAAAAACCTTGAAGAAGTGGTTGTGTTCCCAGTCATGGAGTATTTCAGAGCCTGTGAGATGGTTATTTTATTGGCATTTTTAATTTTTTTCCCCTGACAGTTATGTATTTCATTTTGTTTTATTTTTATTATTTTTGTTTTTTAATTGCTGTTGGCTGCCCAAAGTCACCATGGTGAGATGGGCAGCCATAGAAAAATAAATAAACAAATTCATAATAAATAAGTGTAGATACTTTTGCTTTTAGTCTGTAGTTTGCCCGGATAATTTTATAGGGGCTCACATATAAATAAATAAGTATAGGGAATCTTACCTCAAAACTGACGGAGCCATCGTGGTCAGTATCAAATGCGTTGAAAAGAAAAGTTGCATATGTACTAGAATCTAAAAACAGATATGTCAAACATAGTAAGAACTACAGTGTATACATATTTTAGCTGATTTTGTTGAATCATTTGGTTATTAGGAAACTATTAGAGAAAATAGCTAAGCTGCAACTTTTTTGAAATTTTGGATGCCACAACATGATGATCTCTCATTCTTAGTTACAAAAGATATAGTTATTTCAACATTTCTCCTCCTCTTTTGTATTCACAAGGGAATGTATTAATACAAATACATATCAAATTAAGAATAGTTTTAGCAACAAGTGAGCAACAGTGAAACGGTACTATTAAAACTGTATCAGCAACCAATGTAGCATTCTGCTATTTCACTTTCTATGAAACTAATTGAGAGAGCCACGCAATATAGTGTACTATCTTTATCATGCCAGAAAGGACATCTATAGAAAGGGTATAAGGGCACCACTAGAAGGTTCCCAAAGCAGTGGCTGAAAATTTCATTGCCATTCTGGTTATACTCCATTAGAACCGAGAATACAGTATTCCAAGAATAATTTTGCACCTTAAGGCCCTCATTTTTTAAATATGGATCAATAGTTATGCCAGGTTAGAACTGGCATACTAAATTTCTTTTAATTAAAGGTAAGTTAGAAGAGGTGAATAAAACATCTAACTATGGCAAGATTTTAGTGTATCACTTTTACAGAATTGTTCTGTGATACGTAGCAATGAAGTTGATTTCAAAACAAAGCCCAGGGCCAGGTTATTTTCAGGATCACTGGGTTTTAAACATTTATGCCCATCCCATCCACTTTCACATGTCGGGCAAGCTCCAGATCCTTTCCCTGAGGCAGTGTTATCTATTGGGATCTAGAAGTTGTGCCTGTTCTGTGGCATTGTCTGCCCCTTGAAATGATCTCCTTCCTCTGAGATTAAAATGGCCCAAACAGTTGGCCTCCCAGAAAGCTTTTAAAACCTGCTTTCTGCCCCAATTATTGAGTCAGGATGATTAATGAACCTGTCTTCTGGAGGTGGAGTGTGTTTGGCTGCCACTAACTTGATGTTATCTGATACATTGTTTATAGATAACATAATTCTGTATGGTTTCTTGCCTGTAATTGTTGCTTGTTTGGTTTATATGTGATATACACTCTCCGAAGTCATTATATGAGTTGAACAACTATGTATATCTTTTAAATAAGGAAAATGTCCATTTAAAATCAGGCAAAGAAAGTGGCTGTATTTAAAAGTGCCACAGTTGACTTGACAACAGTCACTATTCCTTTGATATATGATCCAATGAACAGTATTCACATTTTTTACTTTATGTTTGTCCTGTGAGGGAAACAGAGGATGATTCTAGGGATATATGGCAATGAAGATAAGGAAGCTATAATGAGGATGAAAAGTCTCTCATTCTCTTTTATTTCCAACAACTGCCAGTTTACTCTCCTTCCCAGCTTTGCAACTTTTCCAAAATATTAGCTCTTTTGATGAAGGACTTACCTCCCTGTGGGAAGAATTGTGAGTAGATCTGTTTGAAACTCTCTTCATTAACGATCCCACTAGGGCATTCCTACCAAATAGAAAAGTGTACATTGTTCACCAGTTGGAATTGCTAACCTACAATATCCCAGATGTGGCATGCATTGTAATCTGTGAGAAACTGATTTTAGTTTCTCCATCAAACAATAACAGAAAGAGGAATTCTTTCCTTTTGATTAGTTATCTCCTAGGGTGTTGGCAGAGAACAAATGGGAAGGTCAAACTAAGGGTCACAAGTGTAGCAACCAACCTTAGCATTGACAATGAAGTTGTTGAAGTGGGGGATAGCTGCTATATTTCAGGATCATCTATAAACAGCAAAGGACTCAGCAGTCAAGAAATATGCTGCAGACTAGCATTTGGTAGGATAACCATGAAGATTTGATTTTTGTTTGTTTGTTTGTTTTGTCCCTTTGAGTCAGTTTTGACACTTGATGGCTACCTGGACAAATCCTTGCAGTTTTCTTGTCCAGATTCAGAATTTTGCCATTGCTGCCGCCTTAGGTTTGAGAGAGGATAACTGTCTCAGTCACCCAGCTAGCTTCATGCCTAAAGTGGGATTAAAAGTTAGATTCTGCCAGTTTTTAGCCTGATGTCTCAATCACAACAGCAAACTGGCTCTCAAACTTGGTAGGATTGCAATGAAAGCTTGAAATAAATATTTAGAGGCTGCATTATGTTTATACCTACAAAATTCAGAATTGTGTGGAAACAGGTTTTCCCTGTGATACTCTATGAAAGCAAAAGTTGGACTTTGAATAGATAGGATAGAAAGAATATGTATGCTTTTGGAACTGCAGAAGACTTTTGAGAATACCATGGAAGAAATTAAGAAAAGGAGATCATTGAATTACATGGAACTAAATATTTCAAAGGAAAGTGGTGTAACTGCAGCTTTATGTGAAAAAAAATACAAAAATAGTACAAAGCCATTTGTATAATAATTGTATAATTTTATGCTATTCCATAATGTCTTCAAGCAACTTAAAGCGATAAATAAATAGCAGGCTTCAGGTTTTTTTCACTTTATACTGCTGTGCATTATGTTGACTAAAATGAACAAGGAGGTTTATGCTGCCTCCTTCAGCTGCCACTCCCTTTGTAAAATCCATCCTTCATGTTCTGAAAAATATCTAAACAAAATTGACAACAATGGAGGTTGGTTTTTTTATGTTACTTTAAACTGAAGAGGGAAAAGGAGATGCTACAAATAGAAAAATAATCCTTCTGCACCTGCATACTATGATTATTTTTAGGTCTCCAAATGTTGATGATAATGGGGTGGGGGACTGGGGGTAAAGTAAAACAAAGAGTAGCTGAATGCAGTTTGACCTTCAGAAAGAGGGGAAGATATATTTGTTGGGAGTCCAAATACAGACAGAAAGTAATATGGAGAATGTGGTGTTAAGTTAGATAATACAGATAAAATATCTTATTGCAAAAAAAGGCTTGCAGAATTGTTCAAGTTTTTAGGATGTAAATACGAAATCTACCAATGTTATAATAAATAGCAAATAAATAATTACAGTTGCTCATATAATAAAAAAAACAACTCAAGGGAGAAAAGAAAGCAATCAAACCAGAAGGAAATGCTGGCTAGAAAAGGAAGAGTCTTCTCAACTTACATTCTTGAAGCCTCGGTATAAGACTTGTAGCTCTTTGCGGCTGAACTTAGTTTGTTCCTGTAGTTGTTCTAGACCCTCAGGCCGATGACAAACCGTAGAGAGCTCAAGCTCATCCTCTATGCTGTCTGCAGGAAAAAGAACAACCTCAGAAGTATAGCAAGACACAACCTCAGTCCCTTCCTCCCTTCCCATAACTCCATCTTCTTTCCTCTTGCAAATACTGGATTTTCCCCCCAATCCTCACACTGACACAGAAGGGCTCATTATATTTGACAGAACGTAAGACTAAATGACTCTTCTTCATTTTCTAATAGAAGAACATACTTCAAATATGCTACAGAACCTCAGTAGATACAGTCTTAAAATAGAGGCACAGTCAGAAATTCAGAGCCCCAGTAATCACACCCTAGGCTAGAGGAAGACTTCTAGTCTATTCATAATAGAGCTGTATCAACCAAGTTCTCCTGTTTGTTATGATTAAAAGGAATCAAAATGAGAAAAATAAATTTCAGGACAGGTTTATATGGCAACTGGAGGCTATAGCTGATCCTGTCATCCATGAGAATAAGAAATAAATAATATATGTTTGCCACTTCCCTGTACAATAAGAACTTCAGGGATTTACATTCAATTAGCTGAGAAAACACATTAAAAACATGGAATGTTCTTAGACTACCTAAGGCATCTAAATGTACAAACAAGTGGGAGAAATATTTAGAGCAGGCAGCAAAGCTATAAATATGTCTTGGATACTCAAAGAGCTGTTGCATCTGAAAGATATCCCTGCATTATCCAACTCTGCACTAAGACCAAACTCAATGGTCTCTTAGTGATTTAATGCAAACAAAAAAAAAGTGAAAAGTCTAATCGTCTAAGACAAAGAGTAGAAAGTTTCAGGCATTAAAAACATTCAGACTTTTTGTTAAATTGCTGATAGATCATTTATTAGTTGCAAGGCAAGTAAAACCATTAACTAATTCATGATAGCCAAGAGAATAAATGTTAGAGGCGCAACATACAAGCATTGCTATATTTGTCTCTCTCCACCAGTTTTCTAGGCTGAAATACAAATATGTAAATAGAAATCTGAAGCTGTGGAACTCTAATGCTTATCCTTCAGTCACTATGCATATTGGCATCTGTAAATCACAGAGATTCTCAAGGATATTTAGTCCATCACAACAATGAACTTAATAAGCTATTGAAAATTGCAAAAGAACCCTTGTATTCTCAGTTTAAGACAATCTTCAGTACATTACTTGCAGTATATATGGAAAGAAAATGTGTGAGTGCAGATAAATTCATATACAATAGATATATTATAAAGCTCCCTAATGAGTCAAATGGGCTAGGATAAAATAGTGTTTAAAAATCAGAAAACAGTGGAAAGAAGAGTTATCATTTGGACTATTTAAACTTTGCACAAATGACCAAAACATCCTGGAAGAATAGGCCAGGCTTTGACAGTAGCATACAACTATTATTACTGGCAGTGAGTTGAGCAATCTGATGAATGTGGATGTTAAGCACATTCTTAACTTGTATCTGGCATGATATTAATAAATAACACAACAAACCTGTCTACAAAGATTGGTTTACAAATAGGCAAAGGAAAGGATCCATCTCACAGCAAGAATAAGCCAGTAGTTTAGGATTACCGTAAATACACAACTTTGATGCCCATAATAGTTCTGCACACAGTAGTAGGCACTTGTAGCAGGTAACAAAGACCCAATTCCACCTCAAAGCAATGGTACAATATTAGTGGCTCAAATTAGAAAATCTGCCTTGGGTATCCATTTTGTATCTTAGGTATTACTAGCAAATCATTATTATTACAATATATATTTGATCTAAAGTTTGTTTTAAGAAAAGAGCTATCTAACGGTTTATATAAATTCTGTACAGAGGGAATCCTTTCTCCCTCTTCCTGGATATTATAATGTCACAGCACAGAGAACATAAAGAGGCACAAAGTATCACTTGCTTTCGCTGATTGAGGGGATGGATTTAGGTTGGCGGCAGCAGGGGAGCAGCTTGAGGAACCGCTGCTTCAGGGCTTTTTTAGCATGACCAGATGGATTGCCTGCAAAAAAATGACAATCGCCACAAGGAATTAACATATCACGGCATCGTTTTATCTACCCCAATCATTCCCTAACTGTCAGTCATAATAAACATGGAATAAATCAGAGAAGACAAACATGCATAATCTCAGTGCTGCAAAAAAATAATAATCCTACAGCGCAAAACTCATTTAAAACAATCATTCCTCTCAATCAAAATGGATTGTAGGAAATTGTACAGTAAAAAGATGAGAAAGGAAAAGAGCACAGATGTTTATGTATCCTCTTTTCCCCCAGTAGCATTTAGAAGTCACAATTTAACAGTCTTACTGAGCATGCAGTGACATCATGAAAAAAAACTTCATATCTGGGCGTCCCAAGAGCAGTACATTCTAACAGATTTTGTGGAATCAAGGAATTGATACTTGGAATCATACTATTATGCCGTGCTGCATAACTGCTAGATAGTTAATAAAATTAACAGTATAGTTGAATCCTGCCACATTCTCAACTCAGGCATGAAAATTAAACAATTGCAAGGTGGCTTTTTGTTTACTTATTCACTTCTTCCTGCCATTTGTAGTGTTGTACTTTAAGGAGGCATAAAACTGCAATTATGTCCATACTGATGCAGGTCTTAGTTTTAAAATGTAATTCTACACTTGAGAATACTAAAAGGCAGTTAGGAATATAATGGAGCAGGTGTAAAAAAGATTTAAAACAAAAATTAAAAAGAACATAGTAATTAATTTGAACAAAAACACAGAATGCAGCAACTGATCATGCATTTCAAAAGAATAAATGGTACAGGAAATCACTTGCACTGCATTTCATTTGTTTTTGCTGTCCTGGCTTTCATTAGTTCATTATCTACTCTCTTGGCAGCTACTTCAAATAATAATTGCACTTGAAATAACTTTAAAAACTAGTCACTCTCTCTTTCACACATGCACACATTTTTATCCTTATTAAGATCTTATGCACATATTAAACTGGTTGATTTCTTCATGACATTAACTAGAAAGAGACAGATGATTCCTACACAGAGTATATACATCATTAGTCACCCTTTTATAAGCACACACCTGGAAAGCTTAGCTGCATTTGCAACGGTTGATGACCACACAGCTTTATGATCAAATTGCCCAGAAAATAACCTCTAAATGGGTAATAAATAATAAATCAGCCCAGAAACAAATATAGCTTCATTCTGGTCGGCATTTTCTAGCTAGAAAGTACTGCATAGGAATCTGCCAGTTTCACGTTCCATGGTTAGAGTTCCTGTAAGTTGCTTAATAACTTATGTAGGGACATCTTAAAGAGATGACTTTAGTGAGCTTTTTTTTTTTTTGCTACTATATCTTTAATGTTCAGAAATGGCTACAAGAGCTAAATTATCCCTTTGCTATCTTGAACAGAAGTCTACCACATGTCTTTATCTGTCCATCCTTGCTAATCCTGGGCTGTGAACATATTTCCACCACATTTCTTAGCAGTAACCTGAATAAAAGAATTTGAATAGCAGAATGTTCTTCCTTTGGCCTCTTCTTTCATGCCTTTTTTCCTATCTCTGATCCTTTGTTTAGTCTCCTGTAATGTTACCCAAATGTTAGCTCTGGTGATTGGACCTTTGGATTATTTTCAGTTTTGATGTTACCCTTATATTTAGTGTGTAGGCGGGAGGCATTATCCCTTTCTAATACATGCTACTATATCTTATTATAGGATTGCTTGCTTCATGGCATAGACTTTAAACTCTCAGCTAACCTGAATTCTGTGTTCACCTTCTTAAAAAGTAAACTTATAAAAATATTATGAATGGGATCATATCAAAAACTAATCACCAGCTTAAAGGAAGCTGGGATGCCAAATGTAGATTTTACTATAAAACTTCAAAAGGAACACAGCTATGTAAGTATCTGTACATTCCGAGTCATAATCGTATCACTTTCAATGAACATAGTGAAAAGAGTTTCCTTCCTAAGTAGAATTTGCTTTATAAAAGTGATAAAGCGCACCAAGGAGACCCAGATTCAAGGGCATCCTTAGCTATGGAAATTCACAGGATGATTTTCAGCCAGTCCTCTTCTCTTAGCTTAACCCATGTATCTCAAATGCTATTATGTGAATAAAAGGAAAGGAAATTCCCAGGTAAACAGCTTTAAGCTTTGAAAAATGGATAGAATTCTAACTAATTAATGATATATGACCATCTGAACAGTTATTATAATCCCTCTGAGGTCAGCCAATAAAAATGTAATTTACCCCAGAAAATATGTTCAAAGAATAGAATGGATTAAACTTACTGTAATATTGTGCTGGTTTTCCTTCTTTCTCCAGGATCAACACCAATCGGTGGTGATTGGGGAGAGCCTGCTCTCGACTCCTACTGTGTGTGGTGCTGTAGAGCATTGCTCTTTCCATTCCTATTTATATTTATAGGAAACCACTGGATAAGCTCATCCAACATCATGGGGTGAAGTATCATCATTTCCCTGATGATACTCAGTTATACATGTCTGCCCCTGGCAAACAGAAATTCTGTTGATGTCATATCCTGATGCCTGTCACGGTGACAGGAGTCTAGATAAGGCACAAAAGACTTCAGTGGAACCCTGCCAAGATTGAGTGGCTGTGGGTTTGGGACCTACCAATTTGGGGATTATATCATCTTTCCTCCTGAGTAGAGTTGCATACTCAAAACAGACCCAGTGCACAATTTGGGGGTCTACTTGAAGGTCATCCTGAACTCATGACTCCTGTTTGAAGACAAGGTGACAGTCATGACTAGGAGGGCCTTTGCACAACTTCATGTGTGGAGTTGCACCCATGTCTGGATTGGGAGGCTTAGCTTATGATTACTTATGCTCTGGTCAACTCCTGGATAAGGAGTTGTATGGGGCTGCCTTTGAAGAGTAACTGAAAGCTTCAGCTGGTACAGAATGCTATGATGCAGGCAGTTACATGTGGCCCTGGAATGGCACTTGTTATACCTCTGCTCTGTGAGCTGCACTAGTATCCAGTTTGCTTCTGGGTCCAATGCAAGGTGCTAAAGCCTTTCATGTTGTTAGGTTAGGTTATTTGAGGGACCACTCTTCCTGATTACATCTGCCAAGCCCATCAGGTCTAGCAGAAGCCTATTGTGGGCCCTTATCTTTTAGGGCGTTATATTTGATGGGATTCAGGAGACGAGCATTTTCTATTCTGGAACCTGCTCTGTGGTACCCTAAATTCTAGTACCAAAACTGCTGGTCATTTTCATTCAGACATATTGTATGGGAGGTGTGGCCTTATAGGTTACTCAGTTGACTCATTATGGCATCCAAGCAATTGACTATAATTTATTGACACTAAATTTAGTACCTATTTTTAATGCCAGATAAAGACACTATGATTCTTAAATGCTTTAATTGTTTATTTTTCATTATGAGTTATACTGCTATTTTATTGCTTCTGTCATTGCCCTTATTTTTATATTAAGTATTTATATTTTAAATACATTTTTAACTGACGGACTATTCTGATGACTATAAATGAACATGTTAAAATACATAAAGCATACGAATAACACTACAGTGTAGTGAAGATCACTACAAACAATGGAACAGAAGAGGTTAAGTTACTCCAGTTTTTCTGCAGTATTTATACATCCCTTAAACTTCCACATGACTTCAATCCTGAAAATATAAACTAATGATAGTGCATTATCCCATTCCTACCTAAATGAGGATTCATGCCTCTTGCTGTCTATGTTACAATTGTATTTCTTTTTTTTCTGTGCTAACTTTTATTCTAGTGTTAGGTTTCTTCTGTTTCACACCACTTATGGCTGGTGAAAAGCACTATGCCTATATATTTTTACACTGCTGGAAAGGCAAAAAGGTATAATATTACTTTAACTCCTAAAGAATGTTATATCACTAACATTGGTCAGTACCTTTACAAAACATCTAATGCTGCTGTAACGATCAGCTTATACAGAGTAGGTGGCACCAAGGGGTTCCCCAAATGAACCCTTGCAAAACTGTTCATCTCATCCCGGGTGTGATAGACAAAGAAGACAAACATACTGCCAAGAAGCTGATAAGACTAAAATAAACTGAAATCTCAGCGTAAGCAAATGAGAACAAACCTGGAATGTGTATAGTGTTCATTATCTCATTTAAAGTTCTCATTGTTGCTTTGGCTCTTTGCAACTGGGCTTGGCAGCTTTTTGATATGGATAAAAATTCCTCTTTGAAGTGTATGTGAGTTCTCAGTAATTATATGCTGCATTTTCAAAACAAGATGAGAAAGGTATTTTTTATATTTTAGTTCATTTTCCATGAAAATAGATTCCAAAGAGTGGACATGAAACAAATAGGAAGCATCAAAACGGCTAAAAGGCATGCCACACTAACTGACAATGGTGTTTCTGATAAATGTATGTACTTTTCTTTTAAAGAGAAGCTTAGTCTACCCTAAAATTTACTAAATTTATAATTTGGATTTCATTGCAGGCATTACAAGAGGAAGCTGCTTCACACTGTGGATCAAGTTATTCTCAGAAGGTTCATAGTGCCTAATATAGCAATAGCACTTAGACTTATATAGCCCTTCACAGAGCTTTACAGCCCTCTCTAAACGGTTTACAGAGTCAGCCTATTGCCCAAAGACAATCTGGGTCCTCATTTTACCCAACGTGGAAGGATGGAAGGCTGAGTCAACCTTATTATCAATATTTATGTTGAACATGAACCCAAACAAGAAAGCTGCATTTAAAAAACAAGGCAGATCCTGGAAGCCCCTCCTCTGATCGCTCCAGCAAGTGGTAGATATATGCCAGCGTTCCCATTCCTTATCCAAGATGTTTTGGAAGTTGCTGGGAAGTGTAAAGGGGGGAAGATAATCCCCTTATTACTGGTAGCTTCTTATCACCTTTATTCATATTTTTATCCCACAGCTGGCTCTCTAATTGGGCCCCTTCTTCCACTGCACAGAATCACCATGTTAATTTCAATCAGGACTTTTGTCTGGTATCAACTGTAGACTTGATTATGTGGAAGCTTCTTGTAGTTGGACTTTTATCTTTTCTCCCTGCAACTCTTGTCACAGCCTCACTTAGGCACACACTTACTCTGTTTCCTGCCAATTTTTCTTCTGAATTATTGATGCCAGCATTTTAAGAGCCACAATCAATAACACCAGATTTTCAATCTGCCCTATAGTCCCACTCTTTTCCTATTAATATGTCAGGTTTTGGACCACCAATGAGTTAGCCAGTTTGAGGTTTATGGATAGTAGCAAAGATGGCAATGTCCTTCAGAGCAATGGGATCCAAGGACACCACTCCAGACACCATTAATCCCTGGCATTGCATGGCATGGTTTGTGGTGAAGCCTTCCTAAACTATTAAAACACAACATTTTGTGTTTATTTACAAAAAGCTTTTATCAGAAGTTGTGTAAAGTTAGTGTTTTTGTGTGATTAGCCTATACTCACAGCTTGCCTATTAAAGAACTCGAAGTAGTCCTTGACTTATAATCAGTCACTTAACCATTTAAAGTTATGACAGACCTCCCCAAAATTAGTTACAACCTATTTTTATGTTATGAACGCCCCCCCCCAACACACATGGTCGTTATGATCGCATTCTGGTTGCTTGGCAACTGAGTACTTATACAACTGTCCGCAGTGATCAAATGAATGTGAATTGCAATGTGTTTTGCTGATTTCTGGTATTTACTTTCAGTTTCTGGCAAAAAATACGCATGTTGGGGAAAATTGATTCATTTAACAACCATGGCATTCACTTAATGATTATGCCATTCACTTAATGCCCATCAAAAATAAAAAAATGGTTCAGTCAAGTGATTTCTTGACTTATAACTTCAACTACCTATGACTGTAATTTCAGACTCAATTAGTCATAAATCAAGAATTACCTGTATAGTTTTTCAGCAGCTATTATAAGCGATGACTAACAAACTAAACTGCCTTTTAGTAATTACACCTTACCTTCTTAATCTCCATCCAATGTCAAAAAAATGCAGTGAAAATATCTGTTGTTCAATAATCTGGCAGTGACAATTGTACTATTTTCTCTGCATTAATAGATTGGTAGAGAAAAGAAAAACATTGGGAAAATCTGGAAAAAGTTTTTTGCTGCATCATAATAAAGTGTCTTTGGCTTATAATGGTTACAGTAAAGATAAAGGTTTGTTCTGACCCCCCTCGTCCCACACCAACACACACTCCGAGCCAAAGATAAGTTACGGCATTTAATTAATAGACAGGTCCTT